ATAATGTATGCTGTTACACAATGATCTTTTTGGTTTTTCAAAATAGAACTTACACAGGAGAAGATAGACATGCACTTGAACTTCTTAACACATCATGGATAGTAGATGAATTCGAGAAAGACCTCCATAGTAAAGATGACTACTGCCAGGCTCTGAATCACCTTTTGGAAGTAGCACCAGAATTGGAAAGTTATATGAATGATAATCTACTAATTCTGGGTGGAGACCATCCAACCTGGAAGTACAACAAGAAAATAGTTGCTGAGGTACAAAGCACTCATATATTGATTCACATACAACTTCATTATATTGGATTAACTGCAAGTGATGCCTTTAAAACCTTTTGGTAGAATGTAGATGTACAGGAGGCTAAGGAATTTATTTTTGTCACAAAAATTAGAATAGTTAACAATGTATAGATAGACAATCACTTACATTCTCATCTCTTATCATTGACAGTGGGATCCAGCTACAGGCCAACCATATGTGCCCTCAATCATCCCATGGCTTGGTCCATTCCATATATCCCTTAATATCCAAGAGACAACCGTAATTCTTTTCAGGCCGTTCTTTGTTAAGCTGTATGAAGGTCTATTTGGACGTAACAAGAGATTACCAAAGCGCCCGAAGTCTGAAAAAGTGGCACTATTAATTTCCACAGGATTTGGAGGATGGTTAATAGTGCGAGATATGGTGAAAACCCAATTTGGCCCTAACTGCAAAGACCCACAGTATTTACTTCTTTTGCATCTGCTTGATRATGTCCTGCCTCTGGTGTTTTATTATTATGTTGTAGATTTTCGTGGAGGAGATTTTCACAATTGGCTTGGAGCTATGTTCAGAATTATGATTCAGTTCATAATCTTCCGGCGACGAAATTATGACAAAGCCACAATATGTCACCTGTCTGACATTCTGTTCCAACTGAGAGGACACCGCAATTTTCAAAACTTAACATCCAACTTTCTGAATGTGCTGACTGAAAAGAAAGTTGAAGTTTTTCACTCAAAGTTACGAAGGTAATATAATAGAACAAAGCAGCCACACAAAGAATGTAAACTCTATGCAAGACTAAAAAGACTAATKTAGTCAGCCTTCAATATCCAAATTCCTAAAACAAACTTTAATGTTTTCCTTTCAACAGAGCTGTGCCAATATGGGCAAATCCACAATACATCCAGCAACAGGCCCATGTACTGAGTGCACGAAGATTCCAGACAGAATTTAATGCCATTTTTATGCCAAGGTATTGCCGTGGTGTGAGTGAGGACAGACTACTCACATTGTCATTGAAAGCCGCTGGTTGCATTGTTGATRTTTTTGCACAAGCCTGGATGACAATTGGGCAGACAGCAAAAATCCCAAAAGGTCGACGCAAATACCAGGTAAATGTATTATAGATATGGTCACAAAATACAACTTGCTAMACTGAAATACATTACATGTTGAAGCTAATAAAAATGTCTTTTTCCAGCCATTCTACTTTCCTGCACTAGATGCTACACTAGACCAAAGATGTCTACCGCTTGGGTTTGCATTTGAGGAGAACATCTATCCCGACCAAGCTGTGTTCTGTGACCTTCCCCAATGCCAGGCTGACTACGATTCTCAGCCAAATGTAAAAAGGTTAAATTGTGGTCACTCCTTCCACAAATGTTGTCTAGTGCAACACAACTACAGACAAGATGACCATCTGTATGCCATTCCACAAAGCATCACTTGCCCATTGTGCCATGCACCACTCAGAGCCAGAATGGATTCCTTGGCCCTTACCATTAACAGGTGATTGTACATGTAACAAATAAAGTGCACTGAACAAGTAAGTCACTGAACAACATTCAATAATTTCATCATGATTATAATGGACATTATAGATATCTTGCTGGAGAAGAAGATATTGAAGATGACGATGATGACGATGATGACAACGATGATGATGACGATGATGATGATGCTAACGAAGATGACATCCATGAAACTGATGACAAGTCTGCATTAAGTGTTACTGATAAGCTCCAGAACACCAAAGAAATTCTAGCGGACAAGTTGCGATCGTTGACATATATCTCTAACCGTGATCCATTGTATGAAAGCTGCCACTTAAAGCCAAGTGTCCCCACAAGCCAGGCTATTGATGATGTAGAAAAGTACAACTGTTCTTTCCCTGGGTGCAGAAAGCTTTACAAGACGAAAGGCGGTCTAGACAGGCACATTGCCTCAAAACACAGTGCCTTAACTTAAAATATTACCTGATAAATATCAATTTTTTGACAAAATATTAATAAATATTACCTGATCAATATCAATTTTTTGTCAAAAGCATCATTATCCAGAAAATATTGCAATAACATATATAGTGTCGAATACATAGTGAACTAAAATGTTTCGACTCCACGTGCTATATATTGTGTCATGAGTAAGCTTAAAACAAATCATAAGTTCCTGTAAAAAACCTTTTGTAACTTASATCTACTCAAATGCAAACTAAAAAAAAGACTTCTCTAACAATTAGCAACTYTTGAAAAAACAAAATGGTATTTACAAACGAAGATCGTGAAGCATGTGAAGGAAATAAAGCGTTCAACCTGCATACTCGTCATCGACCGCCTTTCGMTTCGATGTAGTGGTCTTTCTATTTCGTTCTTGAATCAGATTCCTTCTCTAAAAGGAAGCAAGAAGTAGTTCCCATCTATTTCTTTCATAAAACTGTCAAATTACGATTGAACAAGACGTGCTTATGCCCACATTTCTTTGCCACGGCCATAAAACACTCTCCTTCATCCGCCATTTTGTTCAATAGAGCCCGCACAATTTCAGCGGAAAAAGCGAGTGCGCATGAGCAATTGCAATTTTGGATTGACCAATCAGCGGTTTTTGAGCCGTGTCTATTTTGACTAGAATGTTGAAAAATAGGTACTTTACACTGAAAGTGATGGATTACATGGGGCTAGATGTGTGTGATGCAGTTTTTAACATTGAATGTTAAAAGGACCTGCCACACATGTGGGCAAGAGGAAATAAAATGAAAATATGAAAATAACAATAGTGCAATAGTGCAAACTTTTTTGTAAATTTTAATAAAATACCTTTTGCTAGTACACTAGACCAATCAACAGAGGTAAAAAGATCCTTAACACAATTCACATTGTACGTCAGCAGCTCTCCAGGAAAGTCGTCAGTTTGTTTAATGTGCTCTTGAGGTACTGTGAAACCTTCCTTTA